GTGGAAATTTTAATTTTTTATTAGTCGATGAATGATTATCAGAGTATGGTGTAGAACTAAGCAAATGGGTTGGAAAAGTTGGTTCAATTGTTGACATAATCGTATCTTTATCATGATTACCATTCCCAATAATAAAATTATTATTATAATCATTATCATTACTATTGTTAAAATCTCTTCTATCAATTGGTGATGATAATAACAACAATGATATAGTATTATTTAATTTTTGTTTTGGTTGTTGTGGTTGTAGTTGCTGGAAATAATCTCGCGTTCCATTCATAACATTATCTGCTGGTGATCTTCTTGGTGGTGGTTGAGGTCCCATGAATATTTGTTCTTTCTTGTTATGATGATATTCTTCTTTGGTTAAATTGATCGAATCATAATTTATTGAGCCGGTATTATTTATATTTGATGTACAATTTAATAATCCTTTTGCCTCCTTTCTTTGTAAAGCAGTAATATCAGGTATTTTCTCAGGTTGATAGACTGAATGCTTAATATAATGATATTTATTTTTTAACTATAAATAATTGAAATAATTTAAGGCTGACCATTTAACGTACCACTGGTAAGATAGGCTCTCCTTTTTTTGGTGGACGTTTATCAATGTTTATTGAATATTTGGATCCACCACTTTCATTGATACGTTTCATAATGTATGCAGGATCAACATCAGCCTAATTTATATCGTTTTAATAATATTAGTATTATCATTCTATAATATCTCCTGTAAATTTGTATTAATCTATTTACCTCAGATCTGGCAGTGATTTGAATATGATATCCCTATGAAATTACGAATATAAATCATTATTATTGAAAATCAATTTTTAAATTTGATTATTAAAAAGTCCAACCTTTAAAAATTTTGTTACATCATTAAAATGCGAATTAAATAAACCTTTCTTTGATTCAGGCACACCTTCACCACACTAACTTTGTCCATTATTGTATCAGATAAACAAAATATAAATGTTATTTCAACCAATTCTCAAAGTAAAAATTAACTAATTTAATACAAACTCACCCATCCTATAAGAATTAATTTGGGCAGCTCTGTATTAGGATCTATTACTCTTACAAAAGCGTACTGAATCTTTCCGTCATCAAATTCTTCTTGCAACTCATCAAGATCACCTCCTAAAATGTAATTATAATTATTAACTACCAACTAATAAAAGATAATATAATAATTTGTATAACTTAAATTATCACAAAATCACCTCCAGTTTCTATGACCTTCAAATCATTTCCTCCTTTATCATACCCATAAACAACCCAAGTTGTATTTTTATCTCCTGTAAGTACTGCTTGATATGTTGAAAAAAGAGCTTTAGAATGAGTTCCTAAATTAAGATTTATGCTCATTTTTATATACAAGTATATTTTAAAAAATACTGTCAGAAAATACGTGTTTAGGAATGAGGGAGGGGCTTCCAAAGTTTCACACATTAATATTTATAACAATAACTACAGAGTCAAAAGGGGGATTGGCCCTTATATTATATCACGTATTCCTGGCTCTTCCCTAAATTGATTGGCACATAATTGTCTATAAAAACCCTTG